AATAATAATAATGATTCATTAAACTCATTGTTTATACGAAAATTAAAATAATAATAATAATAAAATGTTGGGAAAAGGTGTAAAAAAGGATGATATAATTATATAATTTTATAAAGTTTTTTTTTTTGTGGGGGTAAATCCCAAAGGAGGGGTGGGGGGTTAACCAAAAACCGGATTAAAAACCTTTTTTTTGTAAATTAATCAACGTTTTATTACTTTTTAATTGTTAATTAATAATTTTTTTCTTTTTTTTACTTCCTTTTCAAAAATTTACATGACAAAAAAAAAATCGAATTTATTTAAAAGAGGGGGTGGGGGGGGAAAAAGGAAAATTCGAATGGGAAAAAACTTTTCATGTTATTATACTTTCTAAATTAATTTATTATGATTTGTTTGTAATAAATATCAAAAGGAGAAAAATTTTTTTGTTTTATGTTTAACCAAAAACCAAGATTCATTTTGTAACAAAAAAAAAGAACCTTTCGAGCCTTTTTATAAATAAATAAAAAAGTTGTCATTGAGAGTAGAAAAAAAAAAATTAGTTTTATAAAGGTTTTGCTTCTTTTTTTTTTTTTTTTGAATGTTATGAAAACATAATTTTTTGTTTTAATTTATTTCTGTTGTAAAAAAAATATTATTTTGAATTCAAAACATTTTCCCGTCATTTGGGAAAAGTTTTTTTTTTTTTTTGTACTAAAAAAGGTTTTTTTTTTTTTTGATAATTTATTTTAATTAACCGTATTAAACGTTGAATAATGGTTTTTTTCTGTTGAATTTTTTTTTTTTTTTTTTGTTACATTCAAAAAATATTTAAAAGACCGTTATAAAGTATATATTTTTTTAAAAGTATTTAATTTTTATTACATAAATTTAATTATGAAATATGTTGTTTGTTAAATAGGAATTTTTTTTTTTAGGGTTTTGTGGAGGGGAAGGGGGGAGGAGGGAAAAGAGAAAGGTAAACCCAAAAGAGACATAAAAACTAAATATTTAAACTTTTTGTATTCAATGTGTTTTTTTTAACAAAAACTATTTCAATAAATAGTAATAATAGTATTATACATCATTTTATTGAAAATAAAATAACCCTTTGCTGTAACCTTTGACATTCGTCTCCCATTTAACATGATAATTCCATTATCATGGAGTCAATCCCATTGGATCCCTAAAAAAAAAAAAAACCCGCGGTTGTCTTTTCGAATAAATTTACTCGCGTTTTTATCATGGCTACGAATTGTATTTTATTAATTATATATTTTTTTTTTTTTTTCTAACAGTCGGCAGATCCTAGAAAATTTCGAGATATAGCAACGGTTTTTCACGAAATAATAATGGAAGCTCCGGAACATTTAAAATCGCCATGTCGGAAAATTCCATCTGGAGAACTTAAAATGTTAGAAAGATTTTTATCACAGGATATGAGAATGCCAAGTGTTACGCTGATAAATCCGCGAAGTGGTAGAAATCAACCAACGGGAGAAAATCCCGAATGGAGGATTCCTATGCCCAGAGTCCCTCAAACTAGGTTGCATCCGTGGTTGGGACGCGTGGAACATTCAACTTTCGTATAAAATTAGATTTTAGGTTCCCCGGATATCTGCTATTATTATTATTATTATTTATTCATTTAGGTCGTTTACCCGACTTGTTTAAAATTCAATGTTCATTATTGTTAAATTGAATTTTTTTTTTTTTGCCCTCACCCCCCACCTCTCATCCCTCCTTTTAAACAATGATAAAAATATTATTTGCTTCTTTTTTTTTTTTTTTTTTTATAAATGTTAAAAGTTTATGTCAACAATTAAGAAGAAGAAGAAGAAGAAAAAAAAAAGAAAATTTTATTTTTATATGTTGTAAAAGAGGTAAAAAAAATATTTTTGGCTATTATAAGTAGCCAATGGAAACTAAAGTAAAATGTTTTATTAGTACCTTAAAAAAAAAAAATGTGTAAATTTAAATTTTTTGTTTTTTTTTTTTTTTTAAATATAAAAAAACAATAAATAAATTTTTTTCATGTTGTAAATAAAAAATTATTACAGTAATTCATTGCCTACAATAAGTATATACATAATCAAATTTCAATAAAATTAAAAATAAATTTAATAATGTCCTTTTTTATTTTATTTTATTTTTTTTGTGAATGGTAATGATCTAAATTAAATTTCTTTTAATGAAAATTTTTCAAGTAAGAATTTTCAAAGATGGCGCCCAAGCAATAATATACATTCAAAATAAGAATTAATAAATTATGTGTTTGGTCTAAAGTACGTTTTTTTTTCATGACTTTGCATTAATAACTGTTAAAAAACAATTTTTTTTTTTTTATAAAAATTGCAAATTATACGTACCTGAAATTGTTTTAACGTTTATTGTTGACCTTACTAAATTCATTTAAATTACAAATAAATGACACACAGTATTTCATAATTTTTGTTTTTAACTACTTTTCAGGCCTTAATACTCATCGGATATTATCAATACGTATTCACAATTAAAAATTAATAATCTATTTAAAAAATTAAACATATAAATGGCAAAATCGAATGGTTAAACAACTATAAATAATAATTACATTAACATAATTTATTAAAAATATTCAAATTCGCTCCATCGAAGTTGAATTGCAACGTTCCGAAAACTTTAGTTAAGGGCCCCAAAAAATTAAATGTTAAGCTTGTAAATAATAAATATTGAATTATGTACATTTCATACTTGTTTTCGTGTAATGTTTTCTCATAGCTTTTTTATTCTTATATAAATCATTTCAAAAAAAATTAATTTTTTTAAAAATATGCCTTCTATCGAATCAATCAGAGAACAATATCCCTTGCATTGGCTGGCTTGGAATAATGATTTTATGGAATTAGAAACAGTATTATCAAGAAACGAGGTAAACTTAAATTATATTTTACTTACTTGTAATGATAAAAATCTTATCGTGTCATTTACTTAAAAATTTCTCTAGGTAAATAATATTCAAAATTTTTGATTTATCCCAAAACCTAAATTAAATTAAAAAACAAAAGTCATACTAATTAGTTAAATTTTATTTTATTTTTTAATGATCTTATTAAATTTTATATGAGTATCTTATTTTCAAAAGAAAACTCTGATTAAAATAAACTTTATTTTTATTTAAGTATGATAAAGAAAAAGTAGATTGCAGAGGAAGAACTCCTTTAATGTTAGCTGTTACTCTTGGGCATTTAGAAAGTGTTAAAGTATTAGTCGAACACTTCACTAATGTCAATGCTGAAAATAATGAAGGTTGGACAGTAGTACAAGAAGCTGTAGCCACAGGTGATCCCGAAATGGTAATTTAAGTATATATTTAAATTTATATGTGTAAAACGATGCTAAAGTAAATTATTAACATCTCATTATATCATACAATTAAAAAAAAAAACATGTATTTCAATTAGATGTTTTATGATTGTGTTCAATATTTAGTTTTGAATCAGTATTTTTTCTTGTTCCAGGTTCAGCTTTTGTTAGAAAGAAGAAATATGCAAAGGCAATCTGATAGATTAGGAGGAATCCCTCATCTTTTAGATAAATTAAGAGAAGCTCCAGATTTTTATGTAGAAATGAAATGGGAGTTTAGTAGTTGGGGTACTAAAAACATTACAAATTTATATTAATTATTTTTTAATTATTTTATATGTATTAATATTTTTAAATATTTTATTAGTACCTTTGGTATCTAGAATGTGTCCATCTGATACATACAAAGTGTATAAACAAGGTTCGAGTGTTAGAGTAGATACAACACTTTTAGGATTTGATCAAAGTAGTTGGCAACGCGGTAATAAGAGTTATATTTTTGTAGGAGAGAGTAAATATATTTTAAATTAATATATAAATTTAAAAAATGAATAAAATTCATTTAGTAATTGTTTTAAAATAATTTTAAAATATTTATAGGTGATTCTGCTGTCATGATGGAGATAGATCATGAAACGGAAGAGGTTTACATGGAACAAATGAAAATAATTCCAACTGAAAATTTCATGTCTTTCCACAAAACTGCAAAAGCAGTTTCAAGTAGATTAACATCTCCTATTGTAACAACATATATAGATACAGATAAAATTAATTTTGAAAGAAACAAAGCTGGTTTGTGGGGGTGGAGATCTGATAAAACAGAGCAGGTAATTCAAGTTTTGCTCGAGATTATTTGTTTAGATATAAAGTTTGTAGTGTTAAAAACCTGATTATTTATTTTTTAGGTGAATGGTTATAATTGTAAAGTCTTTAGTGCAACAAATGTTGAATTAGTAACAAAAACAAGGTTGGAACATTTAAGTGATTCCGATAAAGAAAAAGCTAAAGTTCCAAAATCAAGTTTACAATCATTTTTAGGGATAGCCGAAACAGAACAACAGTCTTCAACTTCTTCAGATCAAGAAAATGTTTGTTTCTTTTACTTTTTTTTTTTTTTTGTTCTTTAATAAGCTACTAACGATTTAACATTTTGTCTTGTCTATTACCACTCTTCTTTTAACTCTTAAGCACTTTTTAACAAAAATAATTTTCTTATTAATACCCTGAAATAACTAAAATTTACTGCCTTTTCCTCTTTAGAAACAATATAGACCAGAAAAATTGGGAGGAAAGGGGAAAAAATTGGTTTTAGGAAAAAAAAATAAGCAAAATGAGGTAACTTCGACTTAAAATTTAATTTGTATGGTTTTAAAAAAAGAAAAAGAATTCTCGTTAGAAATTATTTTTTTTTTTTACAACAATACAATTTAAAAATAAAAAATATTTTCTAAACATATTAAATTTTAAACCGTCATTTTTATGAAAATTTTTTTCAATTGTAGTTTTTTAAATATTTTATTCGATTTCAATAAAATTTTTGACTTTTTTTCCGATTTAATTGGTTTAACATTGCAAATTTCAAAGTTTTAAATGGGATTCGGCGATAACGATTATTTTTAAAAAATTGATTTATATTCTATTTTACTTTCTTGTTTTTTTTTTTTTTAACAGAACGATGAAATCATTTACTCAAAAAATCCTAATAATATAACTCCAGAAGAATATTTTGATCCGTCCACGAGCCTTGAAGGACGAGACATTGGACGACCAAAAGAAACCATTGTCAAAGTTCAAAAATTCAAAGCGAATTTATGGCTTTGCGAAGAATATCCTCTATCGCTACAGGAACAAATAATGCCTATCGTTGATTTAATGGCCATTTCTAGTTCGCATTTTGCCAAGTTGAAAGATTTTATACAAATGCAGTTACCATCTGGATTCCCAGTAAAAATAGGTAACGTTTTATTAAAATCACAAAAAAAGTTATCACTTCTTGTTAAAAGTTTTAACGTGATTTTTCTTTCTCTTTCAATTATAGAAATACCACTTTTTCACGTTTTGCACGCTAGAATAACATTTGGTAACATTTTCGGTTTGGACGATGAAGTACCTGGCGTTCAAAGAATAAACGACAATGGAAAAATAAATTGTATTGTGAGTGACAGTTGTTTTGAGCCTCCACCCGGATACGCTAAAATCGGTAAACTAATGTCAACGTGGATTTTTTCCCATTTTGTTTCCATTTGGAACTTTAATAATTTTTTTTTTTTTTTTAGGATCGGAAAATAGAAGACAATACAGTCTAGAAGAAGAAGACGATTTAATACAATTTGCCATACAGCAGAGTTTAATGGAAGTCGGTAGCGAAAGAGACGAAGTCGACATTTGGGAAGCTTTAAAAGCTCAAAAACCTTCTCCGCCAACATCGCCTAATTTGAATTCGGAAGAAACGCGACAACTACAAAGGTAAACTTTTTTTTTTTTTTTTTTATTCGAAAAAAAATTGAATTTTATTTGAGGGTAAATAAACTCCCCCCTCCCCCCCCGTTTCTTATATTTTTTTTAGAGCCATTCAAGCAAGTTTGGAACTCAACGTGAGCGAAACAAGATTTAGAAGTTGTCCAGATGGAAGGGAAATAAATTCGTCGGTCATTGACGATGATTTATCACAAGCTTTAGAATTATCCCAGAGGCAACACGAAGAAGAAAAAAGGAGGCAAAAAGAAGAAGAAGAAATTATGAAAAGAGTATTGGAATTATCACTCACGGAACAATGAACAAAAGCGAACAAAAAAAAGCAAAAAAAAAAGGGAAAAAAAAGAATTTTTTTTTTTTTTTCTTTAATTTGTTTCCGTTGATTGGTTTTTGTTTTTTTTTTTTTTTTTAATTTAATGTTAATCTTTTAAATTTTAAACATATTTAAATTATTTATTATTATTATTATTATTATTAATCGTTTAAAAATGTTTATTAGCAAATTATTCGAATTTGCTGCGTTGGTGTTCGATGTCAAATTATTATTATTATTATTATTATTAATATTATTTTCTAATTTTTTTTTTCTTTCTCGTTAATGTAATCGATGAGACTGAAGTTCTATCGAGTATTAAAAAAGCATGAATAAAGGGTGGGGAGGGAGGGAGGGGGAGGAGAAAAGGAGATGAGAAGGGGCACACCTATTAATATAATATTTATTACTCTGGGAAAATTTGTAATAAAAAAAAAAAATTCATATTTTTAATCAATTTTGTTATTATAATATTCAATGAAATGTGATTTAGATATAATAAAAAAGAAAATGTAAACAGAGTAAATTTCATGGTTTATATTATTATTATTATTATTATTATTATTATTAATTAATATTATTATACTAATAACTTCTTACCATTATTATTAAAAAAAGATTTTACAATTGAAAAATAAAAATTAATTTATTGTTATATATATATATATATAATTAAAAATTTTTGTAATAATTAATTTATTTATTTAAACAAAACGAAAAATTATTATTATTATTAATTACCTTTTTTGTGATTGAATGAAAGGAGAAGGAGGAGAATGGGAAAAAAAATCCTCCTAATTCTTTACCTCCTATTTTTGACACAATTACTCATTTCATTCATTTTTAAAATAATAATAATAATAATTAATATTCTTGTAATGCCTCTCACGCACACACACGCACACGCATGATTTTTGTCGCCGACGAAAGACTTCATTCCATGAATTTTACTTGCTAGTAGTATTTGACCCTTTGATTTATTCAGGAAGACATATTTCTACAAGAGAATATTTAAGTGAATTCAGGTATGCAATTGAAAGAGAGAAAAAAAAATTCTTCCCGGCTTGTGCCATGCCACGTTTATTAATAATAATAATAATAATAATACCTTTTTTCCACCTGTTTGAATTTAAACAAGTGAAATGAAATTATTATTAAAAAAAAAAGAATTTAAATTTATTTGATTTCCCCTGCGCCTCCTCCTCCTCCTCCTCCTTGTAAAGTTTTTATATTTTATCAAAATAATAATAATAATAATAATAATAGGTTTTTTCGAGAAATTTCGCCCATATAATAAATTTTTATTTTTAATCTAATAAAATTAATCTTTTTATAAAAAAAAAAAAATATTTTAATAAGGTTTATTAAATTTATGATAAAATCGACCGACGAATTCTCTCTCTCTCTCTCTCTTTCTTTCTCTCTCTTGTTATTTATAAGGTGACCTTTTAATCTGTACCTTAAAAAAAAAAAAAACTCACTCTCAATAAATATACATATATATATATTTTAAATGCAAGTTTTTTTCAAATATAATTTTACGAGTTGTAAAATAATAATGATAATAAAAGTATTATTGTTAAAGTGTGTGACAGAGAGAAGAGAAGAGACAATGGATTTAAATATTTATCTGTGATGTGAATGAGGAAATGAATGATAAATTCATTATGATTTATTACAGGATACATATTTACGATGGCGGTGGTAGGTATGCGGTTATCGATCGAACCGGCCACAGGTTGCACAGGTTCGTTTTTTTTTTTTTTTTAATTTAAATACGGCGCGGATTTAACAAAAAAAAAAAAAAAAAAATTCTGTCACAGACGAGAAATATCTTCTTCTTCTTCTTTTTTCTTATTTTAAACCGTTTTCGAGTTTGTTCCGAACGAATTTTTTTTTTTCCCAAACCGTTTTTTTTTTTTGTTTACACGAACCTTATTTTACTTTTCTATAATTTAAACTTTTTATTGTTTAAAAAAAAAAAAAAATTGAATAAAAACAATCGTTAAACTTTAATCACACGTTTCTCTCATTAAATTTTTTTTTGGCTCGTGCTCTCGTATAAATTAATAATTGTAATTTTTTCTTTCTATTCGAGTTTACCTAATTTTTTAAAATTTTATTTACTCTACTTATAACTTCTCTAGTAGGTAGTAAACACAACG